GGTTGGCTTATGCATCCCTCTCCCCGAGAAGCTATCTGAAAGGCCCGAGAAGCTATCTGAAAGGCCTCGAGAGAGATATTGGAGGCCTTTCAGATAGCTTCTCGGGGAGAGGGATGCATAAGCCAACCCTCCCTTGCATTGACTGAGGCCGAGTTGGCGTTTCTAAAAACAACGACACGTGTCAGCACGCAAACATCGTGATTTTACAGTTTTTAAGATGAGTAGATTGACAACAAGGAGCTGCGGTGCGCATGAGCGATCTGGGGGGGGGGGGGGGGTGGGGGGGGGGGGGCGGGATGCTTTTTGTGTTTTCTGAGGTTCTAATGAAACCTATCAGATGCGAGTGAGCGCTCGTCCGTCGTTTGTGTTTCTTACTTTGTCCTCGTCTTTTGTGCGCTTTTAAAACCAAGATGAATATCTGTGTACGTTCGTCCTGTCTCGCCTCAGTCGTGGTGCTCAATGCTTAATACTTCACTGCACTTGAAAGCAAAAAAATTGGGTATGACAGGCGTGCAAGTTCGGCAGAACCGAGGAGGCCATTTCCAACTGATCTGCACGGAGAACTGACCGATCACACCTTTAATGAGATCACGCTCTTTACTGAACCGCACAATAAAAGACGACAAGAGTATCTCGTCCGGCGAACATTCCAGTCAACTCACGCCTGTGCGTAGCTTCCTGTGCTTTTCTAGAGATTTGGGATTTGGTTAAATTCCTCGAGCACGACGCCAGCTGCCAACCTAGCAGTGCATCATGGTAAAACCCGCGACGGAACCAAAACGGACAACCGCGATACTTTTTATCTGCCTCGGGTTTCAGTAGGTGCCTACCAAGGTTGCCTGTACTCTTTCGCATGTTTGTTTTCTGTCAGTTTAGGCGAACTGAGCCACACGCCTGTTTCGAACCGGTTCAGATTTGAATAAATGGTAACCAACGCACAAAGAAAACAAGTTTCAAGTACTTTTTGAGATTTTTTAAGTGACTTTTACTATTGAACGGCTGCATGTACTTGAATGTTCAATTCAAGAGTTTATAAGACGTGACTACCCCATGCTTGTCACTTGCCAACAGGGTGGTAACGCTCAATGGCTTGAGCCCAGTGGGTAGTTAAGTAAGCCTGTGGGGTAGTTACAGCCGTCAAAACGCATGATTACTAGAGGGGGGGTGCTCTCTTTTTCTTAGAGTGTGGTGGAAGCTTGAAATCATTGCGCTCTCAAAGGAACACTGCCAACACCGTGAAAATGAAAGTTCTTTCATTCCTCTTATTTCCGTCGATGATAAATCCTTTTCTGACGTCATAGTCAGTGTTCAGCCAATCGTGGAAGGCCGACCACAGCGACGCTTTCGGTCGCTCACGTCACCAAAGCCACCAAGACAACAAGCTCGACGAGCACCATGACAATACACTGTTGGCGCTCTTTGACTGACTCCGTCCGATCGTGTACTTTGGCTGAGGTCAGACTTAAAGGAACAATGAAGGCCCTTTCGCATATCTTTTTGGCGATTGAACTGGGCTCCAGGCACGTCTCAGGCCACGTTGCCCAAATTTCAGCCGATACCGGTGCTTGTGTGCCGCGCAAATCAATTAGACAGTCGCGTAATAATCGTACCGGGATCGACTGGGGCGACGGCCCGAGAGTTGCGGGAGAAGCCAGGAGAAGCGGAGCTCACGTGACTGGTGCGGGGCCAAGGAGCGCGACGTCACAAGAGACGCGTCAGCGTCGCTTGTGACGTTGAAACGAGAGACGTGCCGAAACCAGAGACGTGCCCTCGGTCACGTTTTGGTTCGCGATTTTTGGGAATACTGTTCTAATTTCCGCTTGAATAGCCACGAAAAGTATAAATCGGAACAAAAATGATTACTACACCGTAAATAAAACAGCATGATTGTTTTTCTCTTTGCTACGCTGGACGCGAAACGGGCAACGAGCAAGCATGGGCAAACAACGAAAAATAATAATAAAAAAAGAACACGTGGGAGACGTTTGGTTTTGGTTTGAGATGTCGGTGTCGTGTTAACTTTGGGAACAGGGTACTCGAAGGACTCTGCAAAATGGTAGTCATGCCAGATTTGTGCGCTGTAGATGGCTGTTCTAACGGTCGACTGGAGACCAGTGACGACGAAAAAAGGCCGCCCGACTTCGGTGAAAACTAAAAAATGGTGCTGTTTATTTTCCCCTTCTTGGGGAGCGTCCCGGAACAGCTTGGTCGCTGGCGCTTTCCCCTCGGCATCTCCCCCGCTGCGTCCGTGTTACTTCTTCATCTGGTCCTCGTCTTTTTTCGCTGTTTTTAATTTCGAAGTATGCACCAACTTGCCCAAGCCTCAACTTTAGCGCGTCCTTGTGCTTCGGCAACGCGCCGCTCTCGTCTCGCCCGCGCGAATGTTTCTCACTGCTTCGAAGCCTGCGGACCGCTCGTTGCCGGCTGGGCGGTCTCCGTCGTGTGATGGCGAAGGCCGCCACACACGTACTCCCGTTCCGCTGGTGTTAGGTTACTCAACGGAAGCCCGAACTGCTCGAACTCGCTCGCGAGAGCGGCATTGTCGTCCATGTTGACAGATACGACGAAACGATCGCGCCACCGCGCTGGTATAACCCACCGCGGTAACCACGAGAGTCTCGTTCTCTTAAATACTACCGGTACCGACTATTCACACCTGACGTCACTCCCTACTTCACCTCCGTTTTCAGAGTCCCAGAAATGAGAATGGAGATTGTCCAGTTTCGGTTTCTTTACTTCTTTCCTAGGCACAAAAATACGCGTCACGAATGTCTACAAAAAATTGGGCAGCATGCTAGGTTCTCAAGAAGCCTAAAAACATCATTTAAAAAAAAATAATAAAATCATCTTCATTGTCCCTTTAATGTGAACCGGAGTATGGAAACGTGTTTTGCTAGATCATTAGAGATCATTTCAGGAAAATAAGATAATTAAAATGGCAAAGCGCGCCCTCGGTGCCAAGACTTTTTTTTTTTTTTTTTGGATAAGACGAGGAGCTTATAGGACCAGTGCCTGCTCTGTTTTATGGGCGCCGCCATGTTTGTTTATGCTGACGCCATCACACAGTAGTGGGTCTGCGCTTTTTGCAAGGCTCCGCTTTTTTAGAAACCTTCGCCCATATCGGAGTGCAAGAACGCCAGTAGAGCATTAACGAAGCTCCAAGAACAACACAGATACCAAGAGTGCCGTAAAAAGCAAAAACCTTGTTTTATGCGCAGCCGCTCTCTTCTCAGCCTGGGTTTGAGATTGTTATTTCCCATTTTTTATCGCTGGAGGATCCTCCAGCGATAAAAATATAAAGCGCATATGATACGAACAAGGGACTGATCCCTGGTTCACATGTGATCCGATTTTGCTCGGGATTTTGCAGTTGTGACGCAAAACACGTCAGCTTCCAGCACGCTATTTTTGCCGCACTGGGGATGTCGCGACTGCAAAATTGTAGGCCAAATCGCACTATGGGAATATGTCCTGATTCACACGGCGCGATTTTACTTGTGATTTCGGAGTTGCGGCGTAACTCATGCGGCAAAACAAAAAGGATCGATGGAAGCTGTGGTGCTGACCGCCGCACTTACGAAATCGCTAGTAAAATCGTACCACGGGAATCGGGCCTGAGGCATAATGTTGTCCGGCGGCGTTCGTTCCAGTCGCGGATTCAGAGCAGTAGCTGTGGTGCCGCGAGCAAAGCGAACGTGCCGCCGGGCGAAATTCATTGCTGTTCGTAGCATGTTCGCTTTAGGATGACAACGGCAGGGCGTTATGCACCGCCTCCAGCCGCACTAGTTGCCTTTCGCCGCGCTTCGGTTGCGAGCGCACGCGTGTAGCCCCCAGGATGCCAAAGCGTTATCGAAGCTAGGAAGCTCGCGCTGGAGGAGGGTCAAATGAAAGAGCTCCCTCTCGTTTTCTTCTAGTACGTGACTATAGTCCAGCTTCTCAAGCAACAAAGCCACAGCGTCAACGGCTAGTACAGTGCCGTCAGAAGGTTGCTCACACGCAGAGGAGGACTCTGTCGCGCGCTGCCACTTAAAGTCAAGTCAAGTCAAAATGTGTTGTTAGTTTCAAACAAACCGCTAATTCATGAAATATTTATTCAGCGGGGTTTGCAAAGATTTCAAAGAAAACTGTTTAATGGACCCTTACGTAGGATTAGTTAGCGATTCAAGTTCGGCCAGAATTTAACATCAATAAAAAAAAAAAAGAAAACAATGTAAATAAAGGAGAACAAAGTTATACAAGGTAAAAAAAATAACTGTGGTACAAGAATGCTTTTCCTGACGTCTGCGCGCGTTACTTATTTAAGAATACTCCATGGGAAAGCATACTCCGAGGTCAAGCTATCGCAGCAACCTGTGACTGCTATTACTTGTATTGCTGATTACAGAAATACTAAAAGTTGATATTGTTGCAGGTTTTAGACATTGCCGTAGCAAGCTGTGAAAAGAGCTGGCACGAGCAGCCGTAAAATTGTATGGCCAACTATAGTCTTTGTGTTTTGCGAAAATTGCTGTAGATCCTAAATTAACGCCCGCGCGTATGCCGCAGATTTGGTATGTTATCTTTTTACAGAAAACGAATTAAAACTTTACCCTAAGAGCAGTACTTTGTTCCAGAGGTATTAAAAGCAGCGTTATCTCGAAAAAAAACGACTGCTTAACATTATACAAATGTACTGAAGTGCAGCTTTACAATTTTTTTTTATAATATTATGGGAGCGTCAACCACCACCAGCATCGTATCACAGAACACAATAACGATATCGGCAAAGAGTAGAGTTTTAGCAGGTCGTTTCGATGAATTTGATAACAATACCCGATAGCCCGCTGGCCCTATCACACATGCGTCATATCATTAACGGGTGTCTTTCTCGAAGTAATTGGGACGATCTACTAGAACTCCTTACTGAGCGCACGTGCACAAAGCGGCGCTCACTCTCGTTAATATTGCCGCAGAGTTTTGATAAGGCGCTGGCAGGTTCGCCGGTTAACATTCGCATGCTATTAATATAAAGGTTGGAAAGCGGTATAGAAGCACCTGCTTTTGCAAAATCCAAAGCGAACATGACCGAGTAATGCGGCTAGGTCGGCCTGGTGGTGTTCGCTGTTCGCCTCCACCCAGCGCATGATGGCTCTGAAGGTGCCGGAAACCTCGTCGACAACCTGCAGCTCATCCGACTGGACAACGCGGATCAGCTCAGTAGAGCTCAGAGTAGTGTACGCCGGAGTGCCCGTCCACACCTAGGAAAGAATCGTTAAATGGTTTGACCTGGTGACCTTACCCACTGCGTGGTAAAATATAGAATCATCGGTTAACGTAATGAGTTTTCTATTGTGTGGGACTTTCTGGTTTTGGCAGGAATAAATACCTTATCGAAATTTCGGACAATGCAGGTGAGCGCATCGTCAGCGAGTTCTTGGTAGTGTTTGCCGGTTGCCAGATGTAAGATATCCACACAGTTAGAGTAGTCCAAGTTGTTTCGAAGGAATCTGATGCAGTGCTGCAGCATTTTTGGTATCTGCACAAAATAAAATAATATAACAAGTGATGCTTTAAGGTTAACCTACTGGAAACTACAGAGGCAAGGAGTATATCGCTCCTTCGTGCTGTACCACGTGATCGTGGGACATCCTGGTGCTATCCTTAAGACGATTAAGAATATATCGCTGATTTGGAGTCTTTATCAGACGCTACCTCAAACGAAAAGTTGCATGACTCCTAATTTTAGAAATTCATGTCGAATTCCCCTCAATATTCTGGTTGATAATGATGATGATACTGTGTCTGAATCGGGCGGTTCTGAAGCAAGCTTGTACCTAGTCATTCGCCCCTTAAACCCTCTAAACGGATTTCCTCGTAAAAATTTCGTATGAACCTTAATTCTCCTGAACAGCTGTATGAGGCATAATATTTCACTGAAGAATTATAGACAGCAATAATGCGATAGTAAAAAATACAATAATAATCTCAGAACTGTACACTTTTTTAATCTTAATTTTTATGCCTGTCGTACCTTCTTGCATTGAGTTCTATAAAAAGAAATCTATTTGAAACTCTTGCCTTTCTGCTGACCAGAGCGAACAAGTGCAATATTTTCAAGAGTTGTATAGGGTAGCAGTCACATGCCAAAATTAAAATTTCGCTCTTGTCATAAATGTTTGTTTTACTCCAAATAAATTTTTCTCATTGACCATAATTTTGGCACCCATGAAGTTAACATTCCAAAGTACGCCGACGCACTAAGGTTAAACAAGCTTTTCCAACGCTCATGTTCATGCGATTGCCTTGATGGTATGAGACATTTGTAGCACCATTATCGCATAGACACCACGTGCGGCACAGCAATGAAGCTAAAACTGAATGTATTGCAATGTTGTTCACGTTCCTCATTATCAATATAGACGTTTATGAGAAGACGTGTTTTGCCAAGCGATGACACAAACAGCCGATTTGTCGTACACGACGTCATAAAAAAAGAGTAATACAACCAATTATTTTGCAAAAAATAGAGAAGTGTAAGCAATTTGTGAAATTGCCAAAGCGGTTTACTGGTAATGGCGACCACGGAAACCTTGGCATGCTGTATTTTTAATGTGATACACGTTTAATGAATGCAGACTCGATATTGTACGGCTAAACTGGAAGGAGGGGCGTTCGTACTAGTAATATTCGATCATTCTGAGTCGCGCTGGGTCTTGGCTTTTGAGAAATATTTTGGCCAAGGAAAACGAAGACAATAACCAATAATAAAAAAAAAGGGAAAAAGGAAGGTTGCAAGACCGTTGTAAACCGTGAGCCAGTCTGTGAGGGAACCTGGAACTCTTCTTGTCATTTATCACAAAGCTATACTTCTGCTTCATATGACTGCCTGTTAAAAAAATTCCCACCATTTATAATTATTTTGTCGATTAGCCTAATCGTATTGCCGAATACTTGGTGAATTTCAGCACAAGCTCATGTTGAACAGAAACCGTGTTAACAATGGACTGCTTTTTAACAGTCTCACGAGAAGCAATTATGCGCTGCATAGTACAGCATGACGCAGTTTGAAATCTGACCATCTTAACCACAAACAGGGTATTCTTTATAAATGGATTAAGGAGTGTAAGGAGTGCTTTGCTTCACGGTTCGCTTGAAATTAACCTCAAGCAAAATAAATAAAATTAAGAGCCATGCATCGATCTAAATGTATTTGGTGTTTTTTTATTCATTCACAGTGACTGTATGCTATCTGCATACCTCCTCATGCCTTTTAGTTCTTGTTTTGTGCATTCGCGGTGTTATCTCAAAGAACCGCGCATGAAAGAATATATCCCCAAAACCCCAAGATACGGTAGAAACCGGCGAACTTTTTGCAGGGCCCTAATCAAGTAGGCATACTTGCATGGGGAGTGCCGTAAAAGAGAGTTACAACGACGACTTCTGAGACAGTTCGCCATAGGTATGTTGTCAGAAGAATAATATATGTGGTACTGAAAAAACATCTCTTAAGAAGGGTTGGCCCATTCTAAACACATGGTTTTGCTTTATATCCCAACACGGAACTTCTATGATGTCTTTTAAACTCCAAGCATCCTCTGGAAGAGAAAATAAAATAGAATCAGAGGTTTATTATTTTACGCGTATAATTTGGTGAGCTGTCAAGTTTAGAGGCATGCGATTGTATTGGAAGCCCAGCTCCGAACAGTTCACATTGAAGGGGGAAAAATTCGGACTTGTGAGAAAAAAGCGCTGTAGGCAGTCTTGCGAACAAAATGTTTTGAGGAACGTCTACGTTATCCATTACCTCAAGCCAGTGATTTCCCTACACCCGCACCTCCCCCTAGGGTGGGTGTACAGCCCCTCCCCCCCCCCCCCTTGTGTTCCTGAAGGCACCCCCTTAATTCACAACGACTCCTCTATTTTCAAAGCCACCCCCCCCCCCCCCCCCCTAAAAATTTAGACATCTCCCCCTAATTTCTATTCCTGGGGAAACCCTTGCTTCAAACAAATAACTTAAAGAAGCACTAAAATGGATTTTGTGATCGTCTTTTTATGTCGCAAACTCAATGCATCCACTCGAAGTATCATAGAAAACCCAAAATTACTGTCATATGTAACTTTGTTTCCTTATTTAAAGCGCGACCAAACACCGCGACAGTTCTTTTTTAGATATTTTAGAAAAATGGCGTACCGCGATGCTTGGTCGCATTTTAGGAAGAGAAAAGAACACGCGCGATCATAACCTTGAGTGTTTGTAGGATGCTTAGGGTGCGTAGATGAGTTCGCGAAATAAAGAACTATCTTAAAAACGACCTTAGGGCCTCTTTAAGTACGGTATCCGTTACTGTTTTGACGTTACCATAGAGAGTACCGCGTTACCGGGAACACCTATACTTAACACCCGTTACAGCTAAGACAAAACAAAAGCTAACTTTAACACCCCCCGCCTTCCCCCTCTTCCCCCCTGAACTAAGGGTATAAAAATAAAATTAGAAGGATCATTCAAACATTGACTACTGTCGAGAGTTCATAATATAGCTTGATTCGTATATATGTTTTATTGCCGCGTTCATTTGTACAGCGCGGACGTCGTAGGGACGTACTATGTGAAGATAGTTTGGACATTCTTCCAGCCCACCAGAACGGCAGCGAGGAAAGTGCGGTGCACTCCGAGGTGTACGCAGCAACTCGGTTGCCCAAATATTGGTTTGTGGTGCTCACTAAGACATAAGTAAGTCACCCGACCAGCTTCGGTGTGTTTCCTGGACGAGGCACCGATCAGTGAGTCAACATATCAGGTAGTTCGACCTTTAGCCAAAAAAATAGAGCATAAATGTACCCGAAACGGGCCATGCCGTTGCGGCGCTGAATTTGCTGTGACTGTAAACAAGCTGAAAAGCGGATGGGCTTTTCTGCGCGCGAATATATGAGTGAATCACTACCAGCGCTTGTTCTCATAGAGGTGGTAAAACGCGATAGTATTTACCAAAACATGTCCATTCAATTTTAGCCATACCTAAATAGAAGGTTCTAAATTAAAATAGGTGACATCCACTGGCGGCCATGGATGACCCCGTTGCTGCTGAGTGTGTGCTTACAATGCGCCTCCAAAACGGTTTCACAACGCTTCTACAACGTACATCACGCACCACCACAATTGTAGCTCTTTTTATAAGATAAAACGGGAGCTTGTTCTGAGCATGGGCTGTGACCATCACGTTCAGATATGGTGCCAGGTGAAGACCACCTATTGGTCGCTTAAATGCTTTCGACAGTGAAGGCTTCAGGGAATTAATAAATTCGCATAGAACGCGAACATCACATTAATCAATTCTGTCAGAAATACCACGGTAGCACATGTCCCGTGCCTTGAAGCCTAAGACTACTGCCGACCGAGGTTGAGCTTTTTTCTGCTTTCAACACAGCGTCTCGTCATTTTTTGCTGGGTATAAGTAACAAAATCTAGTTCACAATTATTTAGTGCTGTCCCACCAGAAAACATGCGGCTATGCTTAAAGGGGTACTCCGCCGATTTTTGAGCTACCTCAACTAACTATATTTTCTGACTCCCAGGCCTTTACCCTTTCTGGAATGCTATTTAATATCGTGAAATTCATAATAGTTATTGTGAAATCGGCAAATGAAAATGATGCAAAAACAGACATTCAAATATACCCGCCCTTTTCAGGGCCGTGACGTCAGTGGAAGTTCAGCTTGCCAGTCGGGCGAGCAGTCTAAAAAATAGAGTATGCCAATTATTTGTTCCGTGCTGGAGCCCGGGGATTGGAGCGAGCTTCCAAGGCATTCATTTGACACCATGAAACTGCTTCAAATCAGTTGGGAACAAATTCTACAGTCCAAAGAGTGAACCCCTGCACTTCCAATGACGTCACTTTTTCATTGTTGCCAGTAGAGACTTTCAGTTTGAAAAACACGGTGAGGACCAAAATTGTAAATTCAATAACTTCGTGAAAAAAAATTATTTTGATCTAATATTTGGGATACTATTTTGGCGATGTTGTTTGGCGAGTTTAGCAAAATTTCAAGCAAATCGGGGACCATGAAGAAATCGGCGGAGTACCCCTTTAAACGTAGCACTGACACACACTCACTACGCACAAACAAATACATACATACATACATACATACATACATACATACATACATACATACACATACATTCATGAATGCATGCATGCATGCATGCATGCATACATACATATATGCATACATACATACATGCGTACGTAGGTACGTATGTACATACATACATACATACAAACATGCATACATACATACATACATACATACATACATACATACATACATACACACATACATGCATACATGCATACATACATACATACATACATACATACATGCATACATACATACATACATACATACATACATACATACATACACTAACCTCTTCCATTTTTACTGCCGTGCCAAGGGCGCTTCGCTCTCATCGTTTACTCGGCTGCTCTGAGCCAAAGAGCATGCGGCCCCTGGAACGTATTCAGTACGGTTTTAACATGTGGAATGCAGTAACAACGCAGAAGGCAGATATTTTTGAGTGTGAACATTTTAGCATGCGAGCACTGACCAGGCTTTTTTGATGAAATGTTTCGTTTGATGGTACTTTCGAAACAATATAGCCAGGGGACAACCTTCTACGCATCAGTTTCTGCAATGTCGAAGATCACTTTTTTTTGTTATTACACATGTCAACTTTAACTAGGCTTGTTTTTGCATCAGTGCTGTTATCAAGCATGTAAACTGTTTTTTTTCTAGACATGGTTTTGTAATCTGTATATTTATGTTTTTTCTTTGATGTACGAACTTTGGTGCACCCTCTTGTCGGCTCTTGGGCTGCTGAGGGGCACTGCAAAAGTAATACATACATACATACATTCATACATACATACATACATACATACATACATACATACAAACATACACACATCCATCCATCCATCCATACATACATACATACACACATACACACATCCATCCATCCATCCATACATACATACATACATATATACATACATGCATGCATGCATACATACACATATACATACATACATACATGCATACATGCATACATACATACATACACATACATACATACATACATACATACATACATCAACCAAATGAGATTGATAAGGAGAAAACTGGGATCAGTGTCCTGTACCTTGTACTTCTCGGCAACGCCCAGGATGTACTGCACGGTGTCCAGGCGGACTCGCTCTTCCAGAGGGACCCCGTAGCAGAAGTCAATCAGCAGTGCCAGCGTCTCTCTACTGATGTCTGTGAGCCAGTACTCGTGCATCTCCTGGCTCGGGGGCTCACCAGCGCCAGCTCTGACGTCGTTGCTCAGGTTGTTCTGGTCTGCCATAAAGAGTGCCTTGAAAAGCGGACACGCAGCCGCAAGGACCAGGCGGTGCACCTTGAAGACGGTGCCATCGTCGGTCCTGAGCACGGCGTCAAAGAGTTTCTCTATGCGTCGCAGATTCTGGAAGGTCGCTATCACCGAGGCCGGGAGATCCATTGGGACCTCAAAAACTGCGCACAATCAGTTCAAAATGTTCGTTTTGGCATCTTCTTTTTCACCTTTTTCCGCACAGCAAGACAAAATAGAAACCCTGTTTTTTTTTTTTTAATATTTAGTTCGAGTTATCTTTTTAGTTTCCAGCGATATATTTTTTTTTTATTTCTAGAGATCAGACTTTCTTCGCCCTGCTACAGGCATTCGTGATTATAGCTGGGTTAGAGTGAACTAGAAACAACTGGGTGCGCGAGCTACAGGCTCCGCTCATGCTTTCAGTTGCACCTCAAAATGTGGAAAGCGATCAGGTGGAACCACACTGGAACAAACATTTAGGTGATGACTCTCTGTCCGACGCGGCGACCACATTACGTTCGGCGCACCGAGCGCTTCACTCGCACCGAAATAGATGGCGTCCAAGTAGGGTGTCACAAAAGAAAATTTACACGGTCTTTTCGACCGCAAAAATAAACTAGGCATCGCCGAACTCCCATTCTCCGCCCAAAGGTAGAGCTAGAGGTCACAACCAGATGCCAAAGTTTCAGCCCGATCCGATTACTTAATCAAAAGTTATAAGTGATTTTCTGAAAAGTTCAATGGGAAAATGGAGCCCATTTTTGCCTGTCTTCGGTTTCTGGTGCCATAGAGTCACATGTGTTTGAAAACTCCGTCGGCCGCCATTTTCCCATTGAAATTTTCAGGAAATCACTTATAACTTTTGATTAAGTTATCGGATCAGGCTGAAACTTTGGCATCTGGTTGTGACCTCTAGCGCTACCTTTGGGCGGAGAATGAGCTTTCGGCGATGCCTAGTTTATTTTTGCGGTAAAAAAGACCGTGTAAATTTTCTTTTGTGACACCCTGTATTGTGTACCTCCCCAACCGACCGCTCCAGTTGTTTCTCCCCCGCCCCCCCCCCCCCCCCCCCCCCAGCGGTGGTCCCGCATTTCCTCCCTTACCGCTTCTTTTTGTACTTCACCACTGCCACACCGCCACCAAGTCGCCAAAGTCCATTAATCTGTGTTCTCTTCCTTCTTCTTCTTCCTCTTCTTCTCCTTCGAGTTAAGGCTCACCTTCGTGCACGATGGCCACACCTGTGACCGACACACACTCTAAGCAAAAAATCGAGGAAAAAGGTAGCAACAGCGTGTCTTCCTCCCTTCTACTGACGCGCCCCCAAGCGGATACGAGGAGAAGGGAGGAACGAGACGTTTTTCTCCTTCTCCGGGTAAACGGGAGAAAGCTTTCGCCCTCCGGACTCATCTTCTTTCGGTTTCGTTTTTCGAGCACGTCGAGCACGTTGTTTAATAAATGTTGTTGAATTGAATCAGCTTCAGCGGCAGCGAAGGCCACCTGTAATTCCGTCTTCTAGTCCAAACGTGCAGAACATTTCGGTTGCATGAACGTTTTTTACCACTAATTTTATCAAACGAGCAAACGAAGCCTCTAAAAAAAGCCAGTTCCGAAGCAGTGCCAGCAGTGCTACATACACTGGGTAAGATGGCCGCCTTCGGTTTGCGGGACCCACGCGGAATTACAATAGTGGAACCACGCGGAACTGTGTCGACGTTTTTGACGTTATGGAAATCGCAGGAACTGCGTCCAAAACAGGCAGGTTTCGCTGACGGCTGCCTGTGTGCTTTCCGTGCTGAGTTCGGTTCTGTTTTCGCGTGCCGTGTGCCAACCGGAAATCAACGTGGTTCTGTGTTTCTGCGTGTCAGCAACATAATAGCAACATCGTGATGGCAGTGTTGTGCGTTGTGAACAGAACACTGGAATTATCGCCGATGTCACCGTGTGTTTGCGTATCAGTGGTGTAACAAGATGAGATGGCGTAAGCTGTCGGGCATTGATGCCGCTGATCGGGCCGTGATCAGAGGGGGCGGTGTGTCGGAGGTTGACATTCCGCTTTACATAACATTAAAGAGTTTAAGACCAACCACTTGAGGTATTAGGTGCAATCGATCGAAGTGCGGATTGTCATGTTGGAACGCTGGTCTGAACGGTAAGCTCCTATCATACAGTAGCCAATGTGACTGTCGGTCCCCGAGAGCGATTGCGCTCTGGGGAAAGGACTGAACAGTACGAAATTATGACGGAAAGTTCGTATATTTACAGCGGAATTTTAGTGTTACAAAGATAGTAGCTAAAATCGAAACAAAAGCAATCCTTTATTTTGCTGTTTAAATATACTACGGTTCCTGGAGAAACTGCCTTCCAAGTGGCGCGCTGGGATCAGCGATAAAAGGTTTCGAGCTCGCCACGGCACAGCTCCGTACACTTAACACTTGTTGCAAGTCGCGGCTTTGTCTGCATTTAAAAGCTTGGTCTGCTGGGCAAGTTGGTAGTGGACATTCATATTAAAAATAGCGCAAAAGAGACGGGACAAAAAGACGAAGAAGCACACAGGACAAGCGCTAACTGACAACTAAACTTTATTGAAAGCCTCCAACTTTGCTATCGCCATGCACGCGCTTAATCTCGTATCAACAGAAACAGGGCGTACCGCCAAATCCGCACATTCATACCGCCCACCGCCTGGTCCAAAAAGTCAGCAAAACAGCTACATCACCCCGCCGCACAATCCGAACGAGGAAAGGAATAGAAAAAACGCCGCGTTAATATTATCAAGTAAGATAGTGTTAATAAAACTGTACTCATTCGGCTGCATATACACCGATGCGACGCTTATGCAAACGTCTTTGTCACAATCATGTATTTTGGCCGCCTCCAGCAACTCTCGTTCCCTCCTTCCTTTGTTACGTCCCTCCACCTGCGCACCGTCCAGCCTGGGGGAACAACCACAAGTTTTACAATGCCCCGGTAAGTGGGAACCGCAATTGTTGCCATGAGAAGCCGCATGCTCTCGAAGTCGATCATTTAAGCAACGTCCCGTCTGCCCTATGTAAACACTACCACACGTTAAAGGAATCCTGTAAACCACCTCAGTGGCACAAGGCACACACTTTGTCACGTGTTTCTTGCTATTAACAGGTTTCTTCACTTTCGGCCCGCTCACCGTAGCACACAATTTCGACAATCTGCACGGGGCAGTGAAGACAACGTCCACGTCAAACTTTGAAGCTATCCTTTTCAGATTGTGCGACACCTTATGAATGTAAGGCAGCACTACGAAATTTTTTGGTTTCCTTTTAGGTAAAACGGAAGAGCATTTCAACTTCTTTAGAAGGGATTCCGCAACTCCCTGTATTAAAACTGAGGGAAACCCGGAGTGTTCCAAGCGAAGTGTCTGGAGGTCAAAACTCTCACTAACTACATGCGGACAGGACTTCAACAGAGCCGACCGGAGGCAGAGCGAGGCGATGCCCCTCTTTATCAATTTAGACTGGGCTGAGTCAAAGGCTAAAAGGGCCTTTTTTGTGCGTGGCCTGTACATCCAGCACACGTGGTCAAGGGAGTTAAAAGACAACCGAACATTTAAAAACTGTAAAAAACCTTCCAACGGAAGTTCGTAGGTGAAATGAAATGCTTAGAAGATTTGCTAAAAACTTCCAGAGTAGTCTCGACTAAAGAGATCAGGCTTCGCTCTGCAGGAACACTAACAAAAATAATAAAATCGTCGACGTACCTACAAACCTTCACAACGGGGATGTCAACCGACTCATGTCAACCATCTAACTTGATAATATTAACGCGGCGTTTTTTCTATTCCTTTCCTCGTTCGGATTGTGTGGCGGGGTGATGTAGTTGTTTTGCTGACTTTTTGGAACAGGCGGTGGGCGGTATAAATGTGCGGATTTGGCGGTACGCCCTGTTTCTGTTGATACGAGAGTAAGCGCGTGCGTGGCGATAGCAAAGTTGGAGGCTTTCAATAAAGTTTAGTTGCCAGTTAGCGCTTGTCCTGTGTGCTTCTTTGTCTTTTTGTCCCGTCTATTTTGCGCTATTTTTAATATGACTGCATTTAAGTTGATCGAAAAGCGATTTCTCTGCCCTTGAAGCATCACTTCCAGCTGAGTGAATATCCGCTCTACGGAGATTAATTCAAGACTGCAATTGCAGCCGTGCGCGAACAGCACAAAAGGAAAAACAAACACTACAATAGAAATACTGGCTACGATGTGCCGTGCGGGGAAACAAACTCATGGCTTGGAACTGCATTGGAGCGGCTCGATTTATTGGTTTTCAAATAATTACGGCATAATCGAGCGTTTTCTCTTTATTAATAGATTCATCCCCTGAGCCATAAAAGATACTCGCAGAGGTAAGACATTGTTAGAAAAAAATCAACATGCTGGGAACAGTTTTTATTGCTTAGCCAGTTACCGAGAAATTCCGTACGTTCAAAACGACCAGTATAAACGACGGAAACGCAGAGCTCGGGAGTAGTGATCGAGTTAGTGCGCTGTCGTATTGATGTTTGTAAGTGCGATGCATGTGTGCGCGCTCAATGTATGTTGAGCAGATGTTTTGTAGTATGCGTAATGAGTCTACATGTGTGGAAAATAGAGGATCCCGAAGATCCCGGAGCGCAATGGTGGCGTGAGAAAATAAACATATTTTTTTCTAAAACATTATTCGGGCTGTACTTAGCGCCACCTAGCCTAGCTACTTGCGATTACTTTGCTTGACCCCGCCTTCTGGGCCCGTTTGCTCGAAGCTGGTTAACTCTAACCGCGCTTAGAAGTTAACCGCGTTGCCTTACGAGGGGGGAATTTTAGGCCACGTGACCGGCAGAGTAAGGACGGCGGGGAAACATGGCAGTGCCCCGGTGAGTGAGCGCCGCTCGCTTTGGAACTAATGAGTCGTTGCAGCTGCAATATCGGGCGCGTTAGTCAGCAGTGAATAGTTCAGAAGGCTTTCGCTCTGCCTGACTTAACTTGAATCGCAAAGCATGAGCAATGACCTCGCCTCATTTATTAAATAGTCTTTCGATTCTGGCCATTCCTAAGCCCAAATGAACGCGATAACTGTCGGCATGGCAACATCTTCGGAAAATGGATTGCCTTGACTCAATCGGCCGGGTATTGATAGAACACAGAAGC